CTCACCGCGGCCCATGGTTCGGCCGGCCCCGCCCTGCGCAGTCGCGGCCCAGAGGGTGAGTGGGAGGGGGTGGGAGGAGGGTCGGTGGAGCCCGAGCCTCCGGTACGGCCCCGGCCGGTCCTAGCAGGAAGCGCCGCCGCCGCCGCCGCCGCGGATCACCGAGCGGCCTCCCGCGCATGCGCCATGGGGGCCAGGGGCAGCCCTGGGGATTCCGTTCCCAGAAGGCACCGCGCAGGCTGCTGCTGCTGCTGCCGCTGCCGCCGCCGCCGTCGCTGCCGCCGCCACCGCCGCAGCCGCCGCCGCCGCAGCTGCCCGGACGGGAGAGGGGCGGGGCCGGGTCCCCGCCCAGCGGACAGCGACGAGCCAACTGGAGGGGCCGCAGTGCGCATGCGGGAGCGCGCCTACCCCTCCCCCACAACCCCCCATTAATCCCCAAGAGAACAAACACCCCACGCGGCCCCCCCGCCCTCCGCGGAAGGATCTGAGCCTCTTCCCAGGCCACTGGTGGCCAATCCTAACCCTCCCCGGGGAGGGGCCCCTTCCAAAGCCACAATCTGTTGGGGAGCCAGGAATGCCAGGTCCGGGAGGGGCCGGCCCCAAAAGATGAAAGTCGCGACGTGCCCTGCCCCGCCCCAAAGGCTTCCCGGGTAGTGTGCTGGGACTTGACCCGCCTCCCCAGGTCAACATGTCACAACACGACCTCGGCCTGTCAAGTCACATGACCTTTGCCTGTCACTGACAACCTGGTCTGTCTTTAGGCCAGGAGAGGCCATCTGGTCCAACCCACAACCACCCCTATTTGCAGAAAGGGAGATGGAGGACTGGAGCGACGGAGCAGCCTGGCCAAGGACCTGTCACTGCCACACCACTCCAGTCACAACTGGCCTTGTGACAGTTTCTTCTTAAACTCTAGCTACCCCCATGAAGATATGACAGGATGTGTAACAGGCCACCGCATGGCCTCTGTTTTCATGGCACAAGAAAAATACATTTTGTGTGGTGCATTTTTACTTTTGTTCAAGTTGCCTCCAAGTTCATAGTTCTCATTTTACCTTCACAACTCCTTATCTTAAATTTTACAAACAAGAACGGTACCATCCCTGGGCAAGTGACGGGGAGCTCAGGCTAGAATCTGGGCTCCTGACAACCCAGTCCAGGACAGTCGTGCCCTGAAGTGCATGCACATGTCCCAGGCAACAAGGCTGTACGGTAAATCAGACCCCAAACACCTAGGAGGCAAGATGCCTGTGCCCACCCCCCCTTCCTCACAGCAGGGAGTCATAGGACCTGCTATCTGGTACAAAAGGAAGGGTCCTGGTCTTAGTGGAAGGCACAAGAGCACCATAGGGAAAAATATTAATAAATGAGGAAACAGAATCGGGTCCACTGGGCAATAAACCTTGAATTCCGGCATGCTTAGGACTTATCAGAAACTACAAGATAAAAGTCAAGGGTGCCGTTCTGAGAGAAGCAGAAATTACCACCAAGGAATTCCAGAACCTTAGCCCCTTTTAGGGTGGTTAGGGGGCTAAAGGAGGAGACCCATTAAGAAGACTCGGACGTCGACAATCCCAGCAGATGGATGCAAACTTTCACAGAAGAGAGGTTCAAAAGGCCTATGGGTCCATTAGCTGGGAGGGGCCGAGGGAAATACGAGTCCCTTGTCCAGGAGGTAAAACGGGGGCTAATGCTGGGTGGGCGGAGCCACAGCTCTTCGAGGAGACAAGTTGCAGCCAGGCTCCACACGACAGTCTACGGGTGGCCACGGTTGATCGCCGTTTGGGCCGTTGCGTGCCCAGAGCTGGCGCCCCGCCCCCTCTCCTCTCCCCCACCCTCCGCACCTCCCACCACCCTCGTTGTCCCCTGCGCGTGCGCGCGCAGACACTGGTTGCCAAACATTGCATCATCCCCGCCCCCCTTTCCTCCCCTCCCCCCTCTACACTCCCCTCCGCGCGCGCGCATGACTCACTCACCTCCTCCGCGAAGCCTCGTGACCCAAAGCCACTTCCGGGTCCGACACGACGTCGACCCCCAAATGGGAGGGAGCGATGGGGGCGGTGCCTCGGGGCTCCTGAGTGGCGGATGTGAGGGATGAGGCGGGGCCAATGCCGGCGTGCCGCTTTCTGATTGGTAGGCTTCTGGATCCCGCCCCCAAGAGAAGGACAAGGCCATGGTAAAAGATAACAGCTCTACGATCCTGAGGTCAGAGGCTTGAGTCTAAGACATAGAGCATATCATGTTGAAGATGACCGGGTGGCAGCGACAAAGCCAAAATCAGAACCGGAACCTGAGGAGAGAGGCGAGTATTGACTCCCCTTCTACCCTTTACCCTCCCGTCTTTGCGAACATAAGTTGTCCCCTCAAAGTTGGACCGTCCGGTCTTTGGGATGTGCCCTGCCTCCTCCGCCATGAAGTTAGGGACGTTCCGTGGGAGGGATTGGGAGAATCCTTTATTCAGGGGTGGTACTTACAGACTCCTGTTTCTTCGGACGACAGCGCCACTCCATCTCCGCCTTGAGCATGAGCCCTGCTCTATGCTACTAGGGGAAAGGACCTCGTCTGCCCTCGGGAAATTCATTCTGTCCCGTCACCAACTGCAGGCCACCTTTTTGGGCCTGTCTGGTGGGAGGCGGGGCAGCAGGACACACCCCCCGCTCTTAGAAGACTGGGTGACTGTGGCTCAGGCGTTTTCAGCTGCTTCGCCACCAGCGGCATTCCCCCTACCCAACCCCTAGTCCAGTGTCAGCTGCAGCGCCATCGAGGGTCAGCATGGCCACTTCGGTAACGTGGGCTCCTGGGCCCTGCAGAGAACAGAACCTCGAGGAGACTGACACGAGGAGACTGACACGAGGCTTTGGGAGGAGGGGTGCTGATGGACTGGCAGCGGGAGGTGGGTTTTCCCTCCCCCTCCCCACCAGGTCTCTGGGCATCCCGCGTAAGAGAGCAGCCTGGATCTTAAGTGTGGGAAGCCGTATGGGGTGTCCCCAGTGTATTGCCTTTCCCCTGGGGTTGGTTCCTGCCTCTTTCCTCTGTCCTGTCTCCCCGCTGATCTCTGTGTAACCATTGCATCAGGCCAGCCCCCTGTTTGGCTCTGCAGCCCTCTGGCCTGGGGCTCCACTGCTGATGAAAGCCCAGTCCCGCACACTGGAAGGCAAGGGAGGCTTCCCCAGGGAGGACAGCCCTGCAGAGAAACACTCAGGGTGATATTGCATCTCCAGTCCCCAGGGATAGGCAGCTGCTGCTCTGCCTCTGGGCTTAGTCCTCCTTTCCCCATAAGAGAGATTGAGGGGAATTTACCCATTCATTCCTAACAAATACTTAACGAGCTCTAAACTATGTGCCAAGCAGCTTGGGGCCCAGGGTACATCCATGAACAAGACAGAAAAAAGTCATCTCAGTAGGAGGCATACAGTAAAACAAAATATAAGTGCCAGGGAGAAAACTAAAGCAAGGAAAGGTATAGAGAATGTTCAGGGTGGAAGTTACAGTTTTACATCAAGTGGTCAGGAATTAACTCACCGAGGTGACATTTAACTGAAAGACCGAAAGGAGGCAAGGCAGTGGGCCATGCAGTTATGTGGAAAGAAGAGCTTTCCAGAAGGAACAGCCAGAGCAGAGACCCTAAGATGGGAGCATGCCTGGTATCTTTAGGGAACAGACCAGTGGACTGGAGTAGAGTGAGCAAGAGGGGGAGTGGTAGATGAAAAATAAGGGGCAGGGAAGGAGCATATTGTGTAGGGCCTCGTAAGCCATTTTGAGGACATTAGCCTTTAATACGCATGAAATAGGAAGTCATTGGAGGGTTTGGAGCAGAGGAATGACCTAAGTTTTAAAAGGCCCACACTGCTATTACTGTGAACAGACTCATGGAGGGATGGCAAAAGAATTGGGAAGAACTTCTGCTGCCATCAGGAGTCTTGTACTGATTAATCCAGGGGAGAGGATGGTAAATTGATCTAGATTGGAAACAGGGAATTGGTGAGAAGCATTTAGATTCTGGCTATTTTTATTTTTTCCATTTGGAAGTCAACTTGGGCATTTTTAAGGAATTAAGAAAATTTACTAGTGCTTCCGATTGGATTGTGGGGCATGAGAGGAGAGGAATCAAGGATAATTACAAGGTTTTTTGGGTTAAACAACTAGAGTTGCCATTTACTGAGGTGGGGAGGACCTTGGAAGGAGATCAGGAGTTTGTCTTTGGACATAGTCTGAGATGCCTGTTAGACATTGACAAAGAAATGGCAAGGAGGCAGTAGACAGCAGAATTGGAGGCTCCAGAAGAGGTCCAGACTGGAAATGTACATTTAAAGGATGTCAGTGTGGGAACAGAGTAAGGAAAATGCCACTTGATTTGTTCCCTTTCCTGTAGTTTAGTTCTCACACAGTGGCAGATTTGAGGCCTGCCTTGAATTTGGAGAAAGCTGAGTTGGCCAGGACTTTGCTATTATGTAACCAGGACTACAAATGTCAGCAACTAAAAATAAAGGAAGCCAGGCTCTCTTCTGTCCTTGGAAATGGCTACAGGGACCATTAACTATCCACAAGACCGGAAGTAAGGAAAGATAGATAGGAGGCTGGAGATGAAAGGAAAAGAACTTGCCTCTCCCCCTTCCAAAAATGGCTAACATTTATCTTTATTTCCCACAGTGTTCCAGAAGAAAGTGTATCTTCATACACCACCACACCTGAAAGTAGGTAAACTTAACCCTTTCCCAAAACCAAGTCCTAAGAGATTATGAAAAGACCTAGAGAAGGTGGGAGAGGAGGGTTTGAATCTGAGCAAGAGTTTGCTGTCAGGGTATGTCTATACTCCTGGCCTGCCCCTAACAAGGTGACTGAATTACTATTCCTAATTGAAAGCTGGCCCTTAAAGAAAGCCCCAACAGATAATTGGCTTATTTTACAAATCTTCAGTCGCATCAAAGTTAGACTGACCCAAAGGACTATTTGCCCAAGCTCCCCACACAGGACAAAAGAGCACAAATGGCCTGGTAATTACCCCTGGAAACTACCAATAGCGTTCCTAAGTAGAGCTGAGGACTTTTACTAGGAGGCCACAGGAATGTATATATATCCAGGCACTTTGCTTTTTCAAGTCCTGGGCAAAAAAGAGAGAATATTAGTATGGATTAGGGGTTGTAAATTTCAAAGGGCAAGATAGTAAATATTTTAGATGTTCAGGGCCACATACTCTCTGTTAGGACTATTCAGCTCTGCCATTATAGCACAAAAGCAGCTATAAATAATATGTAAATAAATAGACACAGCTGTATTCCAATAAAACTATCTACAAAAACAGGCAGTAGACCAGTTTGCCAACCTGTCATACAGACTGCTGTGTGGAGCATATTCCACCTACTTCCCATTATTCTGAGTATATACTTTTCCAGACCTGATCCAACTGCAGAGATGGCAGCTGAGTCGTTGCCTTTCTCCTTCGGGACACTGTCCAGCTGGGAGTTAGAAGCCTGGTATGAGGACCTGCAAGAGGTCCTGTCCTCAGATGAAAACAGGGGTACCTATGTCTCACCTCCTGGAAATGAAAAGGTAAGAATGCTAGGCCTAAAGTTGGAGGTACATTACCTTTCCCTTCTCAACTAATACCTACTCTCCCTTTCTTTCCTTGAAGGAAGAATCAAAAACCTTCACCACTCTTGACCCTGCCTCTCTGGCTTGGCTGACTGAGGAGCCTAGACCAGCAGAGGTCACAAGCACCTCCCAGAGCCCTTGCTCTCCAGATTCCAGTCAGAGCTCCCTGGCTCAGGAGGAAGAAGAGGAAGACCAAAGAAGGACCAGGAAACGAAAACAGAGTGGCCATCCCCCAGCCCCGGCTGGGAAGCAACGCATGAAGGAGAAAGAACAGGAGAATGAAAGGAAAGTGGCACAGTTAGCCGAAGAGAATGAACGGCTCAAGCAGGAAATCGAGCGCCTGACCAGGGAAGTAGAGGCGACTCGCCGAGCTCTGATTGACCGAATGGTTAATCTGCACCAACCATGAACAATTGGGACCATCACTCCCCGACTCGGGCCACACTACTTACCTTTCTTTCCCAGAAGTGGCTACTGACCACCTTCTCACCAGTGCCAGTGATGTGACCCTCAACCCCACGTACTCAGGGGTGAGGCTTGGGATAGACAAAAGGAAAGGGTCTCTGCTTGTATATAGAGTGTATATTTATTCATTACTGTCCATATCCATTAAAGCGACTTTCTATGAGCCAAGTTCTCTTTCACTTTTTCTTCTTGCCTTTAGGGGTTTCCAGGGGTTTCCCCTCAGCTAGAGCCAACTGTTTCTTTAGATCTAAGAGTTTAGCCACCTCTGCAGCAATCTGGTTCTTGTCTGCCTTTTGTGCTTTCAGTTCCCGGACAATGTTGCCCTAAGGGAAGGAGGGGTGGAGAGAATAACAGTGAGACCAGAAAAGGACCAATTTAGGATTCAGCTCTCCCAGTCTCCCACAGGTCTTAGGCTTCATACTTGTTTTGTCACTTCATCCGTCAACACTTGTATCTGCTGTGACCCAGCTGTTGTAACAGTCTCTATAACTTCTGGCTTGGGGGACACTTTTGCCTGAAGAAGAACAGAGTTATCACCAGTGACCATAAATATCCCCTGACCTCCAGTTTTATATAACATCTCGGGGGAAGTGATTACCTTTAACTCCAAGGACTCTTCTAGCTAAGACAGAAAAGAAAAACTATAAGTGAGGAAGCAGCAGAGCCAAAGACGGAAAGAGCGATAAGTGAAGACTACTTAGGTAACTAAGGAGATGACACTGTGGCTGTTGCCGAGTGAGATGAGAGCACAGTCTTTAGCTGTCTCACCTGGCCCCCTCCAAAGCGCTGCTTCAAACTTTCAATCTGGTCATTTTCCAATTTTTGGAACAAGGGACTGACCTGTTAAAAAAGAATTCCAGAATCATTCACTGATTGTATAGTCTATACAGAGGACCTTTCCAACCCCAGTCTCTGACATTTACGAATCATAAATGTGTTATAGAAGAAAGTGGAGCATAACACTAAGCTAATTCAGGAAAGAATCCAGAAAAAGCGTTAGCATTCCCTATGAAAGCCCAGAGAATGAATAGGGGCAAAGATTATTTAAACTAATGATGCTAGGTTGATCCAGAAGTTCGGGAATATGCTTTATCATTTTGTGTCAAAGAAGAAGTTGCTACCCTGTATTCTCCCTGCCCACTGTCGACTAACATTATGGAGATGAGTTAATCATGACGTTTCTTCAAACATCTATACAGAAGTTAGTTTTATGTGCCTGGTACTGGCTTTGGGCATGAAGAACAATGAGGATACATACAGATATACTAGACTTGTGAACCAAGACCAAGGACTTCATATAAGAAATTTAAGAGTCCCGTGCCCCAAGTAAAGCTGATGAGATGTTAGGTCTGCTCTAACCCCACCCTAAAGGCCACATGGAAAAAGTATGACTTTTCAGAGAGGCTGGCTCTACCAACTCTTGGAGACCTACTGTGCCAATCTGGTGTCCTGCTGGTAAGGTACACAGGAAGTTTTTGAGCAGGATACTACAGGCTGGAGGTGGGAGATGCAGCTGGGCCTGGATGGTGGCGCTAACCGTGGGCATGTAAGGCTGGAGCATAACGGACAGCAAGGCCGCTATATTCACTGCCAGGCCTGTCACTGTGCCTGCCCGCTGCCTGGGGAGGAAGAAGTATTAGTCAAGACCTCCAGGAGGACACAGCTGACCACCTTATTCCTATAGCCAACCCTAGCCCTTTACCTACCTGTCAGCCTCACTGCCTTTAATCCGCTTCCAGGGCTCATTCACCTGAATGTATTGGTTGCCATGTCGAGATATGGTGAGGATACTGCGTAAGGCATCACGGATTCTGGGAAAGGATGAGGCAAGCCAAGGTATAAGGTCCCACAAGGATCAGTACGGAGCTCTCAAATGCCAGCAGATAAGATGGATGTGCAGGTTACTTACCGAACCTTCTCAAGCAGCTGGTGATAGTGACGGAGCTCCAGGGTGACATGGGCCAGCAAGCGCTGATCATCAGGAGTAAGCACCATCTCGGGCACGTAGCCCCCAAAAAATTTAGACACAAACATCCCAGCTCTTAATTGGAGATAGGAAAGAAGAGGAGAAAGAAAAAGGTTTTTTCCTGAGATAACACCTGACTTCAGGAAATCAGTCTCCTTATTGACTTAATTTCCACAACTGTACATTCTCTTAGGATTCCTGCCCATAACTCATACCTCCTGGCTCCCTCAAGCTAGAAGGCAAAGCTTTATAAATTAATTCCTTTTTTTTTTTTTTTTTTGAGACAGAGTCTTGCCCTACTGCCTGGGCTAGAGTACAGTGGCGGCATCATAGCTTATAGCAACCTCAAACTCCTGGGCTCAAGCAATTTTCTCCTGCCTCAGCCTCCTGAGGAGCTATGAATACAGGTGTGCACCACCAGGCCCAGCAAATTTTTAAATTTTTCTTGTAGAGATGGGGTCTCACTATGTTGCTCACGAACTCCTGCGCTCAATCCTCCCACCTCTGTCTCCCAAAGTTCTGGGATCACAGGCATAGGCCATGCACTTGGCCTTATTTCTTTATTCTATTTCTCCTCTAAGAATCTGACTCTGTACCTAAAGAAACCTGATAAAGTTAAGCACTGTATGTTTTATTTTAAGAAGTTCATACTCAAAATGACCAAGTTGAAATATGTGTTAATTGCTATCAAATACTCTAGTAAGGACTTTTAAATGCGGTTAATGACCAAAGCTGAAAGGGTGGGTGACAAGACTGAGCTAAAGGCCCAGGACTCAGAGGGTGGAACTAAAGAATCCTAAGCCATGGAGGGTATTTCTGTAGACTGCAGAAGAGCTGAGATAAGGACCAGTAATAGAAAACTCTGAAGAATACAACAGAAGCTTCCTACCCCTACACCAAAATAACCTCTTTGTTCAGCCAAACTTTTCAGTTATCTGCAGGTTAATTGTTTTACTAGGAGAGAATACATCTTTAATTATATAAAGAAATTAATAAGAAAACAATTTGCAAAAATTCACTCTGTGACCAACTTTAAAAAATCACATCTCTACAGCTAACTTCCCTCAAGCATACGTAGTCTACTACGTGCTAGGAGCAGATCCCAATGGACAGAAATCAACTTTCCATATTGTCCTTCCCATCCCTCACAGCCTCCTGCCCATTTACTAGTTCTCTCCACATTCCCATGTGTTGCTCCATGAATTAATATAGATGTATTGGGCTGGGCGCGGTGGCTCACGCCTGTAATCCTAGCACTCTGGGAGGCCGAGGCGGGCGGATTGCTCAAGGTCAGGAGTTCGAGACCAGCCTGAGCAAGAGCGAGACCCCGTCTCTACTAAAAATAGAAAGAAATTACTTGGACAGCCAAAAATATATAGAAAAAATTAGCCGGGCATGGTGGCGCATGCCTGTGGTCCCAGCTACTTGGGAGGCTGAGGCAGGAGGATTGCTTGAGCCCAGGAGTTTGAGGTTGCTGTGAGCCAGGCTGATGCCACGGCACTCTAGCCCAGGCAACAGAGTGAGACTCTGTCTCAAAAAAAAAAAAAATATATATATATATATAGATGTATCGGAGACAGAAACATCTCAAGAGTTTTGCAGAGCTTTGCCCTGAAGGAATATGTGAAGGTGTTAGTTTGCATATTGAAAGCTGTTTCACCTCAGGAGGGCATCTCCGAAAGACAGTAGGGGCTGTATCCCACAAGGCGCCATGTTTCTCAGATCTAAAGGTTTGGATTTGCTTTGTAAAGCAAAGCAGATCTGTTAAAAACTACAGGATGAGAGCTGATCAAAGAGTGCCCGCCCTGAACAAACAGCCACCCTGGCTATAAGCAGTTAGCCCAAGGGACAGTTCCTGCTTAAAACTCCGGACTACCTATCTCCATTCACAATAACCTGATAAAGAAAATATGAAGCCAATATATCTCTGTTTAACCCCTCTGTTAAGTGATAAATTTACCTTAGAACTTAGAAGTTAATCTTTGAAAGATTTTGTAACCATTTGTTCACGCAGATAGAATTAGTTAAGGGATCTGTAGAAGCCTTCTGAAAAACTATTAACCTAAGAACTACCTGCTGTTATGTAAATCTGTTACCCCTGGCAACTGATCACTGTTACCTATAAATGACCATGTAAGACTTCATTTGTGGCCTCTGAGATTGATGGAGAAATCCAGGCCCCCTGAGCACCCGCTTTGCCTATAATCTTTATAAATCTATAAAACTATACCTTCGTCTCTGTGTATTCTTTTATTTCCATTATTTTCCATTCTCTATTATTTTCTTATCCCTTGCAACCCTACCAAAGGGACCCGGTTTTTTGCAGGGAGCTTGGCCACCTCCCTGCATCATGTCCTGAGGGAGAATGAGCCCCATCCCAGCTCATTGTTGACTCTGACCCCTTACCAAGTCCCACCTGTTGATGAAGTTGCCCAGGTTGTTAAGCAGCTCGGAATTATTCTTGAGCAGCATGTCTGTCCAGGAGAAAGCACTGTCCTGGCCCTCAGGCCGAATGTACAGCAGATAGAAGCGCCAGATGTCAGCAGGGATTCCTGTGTCCTGGGCCATGTCCCCAAACACTCCCACACCTCGGCTCTTAGAGAATTTCCCATCCTCGTAGTTCAGGTACTCTGGACAGAGGAGGAGAATGAAAACAATCTGCTCAAATCATGTCCTTTCCCTCTCTGACCCACTGCTGCTGTTTTCCTCTCCTTCAACCCCAACTATGGGGGTCCAAAAACATTTCTCCCTGAGTAGCTGGCCTGCACAGAACTTGGGATTCCCTTTCTATCCATTCTGGCCTTTTTTTTTTTTGCTTACTACAAAGTTTTAGCTTTAGACTTTTGCTTTCTTCAGGTTCTTATTTCCTTTCTCATGTTTTAATTATTTCCTATTTCATCTCAACTCCTAACTCAAGACCTAGCACCTCTCCAGAATCTTCTTCCAAGTACTGCCTCAACCCTCTTTCCCTAGAAACACCCATAAGCAGTCTTCCAGGGTGCCTACCTGTAGCAATGAGGTGGCTGACCAAGGTATAGTTGTCCTCAGTTCCTAAGGCTGAACAAGGAAAGACTAGGCCATGGAAGGGAACATTGTCTTTGGCCATGAACTGATATAGGTCCACCTAGGAGAATATAGTCAGGAGAGAGATTTCCTGAAACCTCCTTCGAGACCAAAGAAAGACCAGACACCCAACCCTAAC